AGCCAGCCACTACTGATGTTGATATGAAAACACATGACTGTCTCTAAAATAGAAGAGATTTAACAACTTTAGCTCCCTGTGTGTTGCTGATTGGAAAACGTGTCACACAGGAAGCTTTTAAATCTTTCCAATGTCCAAACCAGCTTATCCTTGAAGGCTTGCCGAGGGCTGATTGACATCCCTAGTTCTAATGACATAAATATATTTTGATCACAAATTTATTATCAGGCAAAATGTATAGAACATTATGATTAAAAAAACTTTAAACACCACATACAAATATGAGCGATGTCTTAAATCCATCACATTAATGGTAGTCTTCATTGGACAGTTTGGAGCCACTTTGCATCAGCAGCTCCATGCTCCAGTGCTCTGGGAGAGTTTATAGTCCTGACAGTTGAACACTGGATGACTGACAGCTGTCCTTCATCACAACTGAAGACACAGAAATCCTCCTCATCTAAAACATGACTTTGATCTGCGTCCTCATCTGGACTCTCCTCTGCTGCTGCTTCACAGGTAAAGTCCAGAGAATCCAACTCCTCTATGAACATCTGTCCCTCTGAAATGAAGACGACTAAACCATGAAGCTGCTGCTTATTTTTGTCTCTGTGTCCTCAGAGTCCATAATCCAGGTCTCAGTGACTCAGCCCGCAGCACTGAAAGCTGATCTGGGAGGATCTGCCACCATCAACTGCAGGACAAGTCAGAATGTTTATTCTTCAAACTGGTTAGTTGGTACCAACAAAAAGATGGACAAACTCCTAAGCTTCTCATTTATTATGCTAGCTCTCGAGCAACAGGGACTCCAAGTCGTTTTTCAGGCAGTGGATCAAACTCTGACTTCACTCTGACCATCAGTGGAGTTCAGGCTGAAGATGCTGCAGTTTATTACTGTATGGGTGAATTTGATGCTAGCAAGTATGATTGGTTCACACAGTGAAAAACAGTCATACAAAAACCTCCCTCAGTCAGACTGAACAGAATCTCCAGCTTGATTCTACAGGAGACACTGACACAACTCACTAAGCACAGACACAACAACATTCACATGAACTTTGAAAAAAGTGGCATATTTTTCATCAAGCTTTGAAGTTAATGTAGAGGTTGGAATAATACAGCTGGACAAACTTTTAAAATTTCACTAAGGCAGAAATCAAATGTCTTCATTTAGTTACACATGGAGGTTTTCTGAACATAATCTAAGTTGTGTGTTAAGTTTATTTAAATGAAGGTACATATTTTTTGGCTGACTTTTCTATGGAAAAAGCAACATGGTTTTAAGAAAAATAAAATAAAATCCTATTTATGAGTCAGATATATGACAATAAATTAAGGTTAGCATAAAAATTGGGTGAAACTCTCCAGCTGTTCATTATTTGCCTAAGAGAAAAGTTTCAGTGACTCTAAATGGTTTCATAGACAGTAGATCAAACTCTGAATTCTCTCTGACCATCAATAAACTTCAGACTGAAGATTCTGTCAGAGCGGACATTTTGAACAGCCAAGTTGTGTTCACATAGTGAAAACAATCCATCACTGATGATTGTAAACTGAACAAATACGACACTTTTAATTACTCATTTAAAAAGAGAGCTTTTAAGATCTGTATTTAGCATTTTTAAAGAATAAGTCATGAACAGAATTCATAATATACATAACTCAATAGGAAGGTTGTACAGCTTTTTCACTTTTAAGCCTATTAAATGGTTTTTGGTATAGTGCAACAAGATAACATTTTCTTTAATACATTGTAGCAATATAAATAAACTGAAATGAAATGATAGATTATAATTAATATTGAGGAGCTGCTGTTCCTGGCAGTAAACAACCTCCATTAACATGCAGCACACTATGAACAAAATATAGATTTTCCTCTGATAAGGTAAAAGTAGACAAAAAAAAACAACATTACAAGAATAACGATTTTCTTTTTTATTATTTTTGAGAGAAATTGAGCTTTTAAACACAGAACAAAGGTTATGAAGACAAAATAAAGCAGAGATTTTTAAAGCAAGTGACAAATAGCAGAATTAAACATTAGAAAACCCATGAGTCAGCTCAGGACTGGGAACACTGGTCTCTCCTCAGTGTCTCTGTGACTGCAGGCTGGGAGCTCTGGGAGGCCTCACAGGTCACAGAGCCCACCTTCCTCCACTGGTCTGCAGGGATCCTCAGGGTGCTGCTCCAGCTGTAGAGGCCGTCATTCTGCAGCACCCCGGGGCTCCTGCTCTGCTCCCAGCTGCTGCTGCTGCCGTCCAGCTTCCAGGACAGAGTCCAGTCTGAGGGGAAGCCCTTGTTGGCCAGACACAGGAGGGTAACCTGCTGATGCTGCAGCTCCACACTGGAGGGGGGCAGCACTGTCAGGGTGGGGCGGGTATCACCTAGAAGACATCAGTCAGGTTAGAGAACAGGAACTATAGATGTTAAGCAGCAGATACTGTGTTAACATGGTTACAGTCAGTGAGGAGTTTTCTGAAATAAGAAGTTTCTGCCAGATGTTTTCATGCTCCACTCGTCACTCACTGACACATTGTTTCACTTCCCTTTATGAGTCTCTGATCAGAACAAAAATGTCACCAAAGAATTACATTTGTAAAAATTCAAAGTACTCTTAAATAAAAAAAACAAAAACAAAAATACAATAATAATAAAAAAATCGTTAGAATCTAATTTTTAAATGCAACTATACATTATTTATAACTCCAGCAAGCATTTGTGAATTCAATAGATCTTAAAGAATTTATTTTGAAATACTAAACACAATAAACTTAAAGTTTTCTCCATCTTTGTTCAACAGAGATTAAGACTGATTTTATTCCACCAGTAAAAAAATGTTAGATTTTTACTTGAGCTCATCTAGATTTTTCACACCAAACCACCAAACTGGTTCACAACTGGCAGAGAAAACCGTAAGATTAAAAAGTGAAAACATTGACAAATGTATCAAACCTCCATCCTGATATTTATTTCCAAAACAACATTTTATATAATTTTAACATAAAATATTTCACTTCATCTTGAAGAGAAATTCTACATGTTCGATGTAAAAAAGTAATGAATGCACAGATATACTTTCCTCCTTTATAGGTAAATACACAAATTTACTTTAAAGCATCCCAACATTATTTTTTATTTTAGTATTAAGCATGAAATAAACTTACTTCCAAACTCCAGTCTGGTTCCTCCGCCAAAAGTCCACCACAGTGATACAAACTCACTGAGGCGCCGTACAAAAACCTCTGACTACAGACACGACTCTCTGACTTTGTCTGACTAAACTGAACCTACAAACCCAGATTAAACTGAAACATTTTGTACTACTTGGATGACTATAAACCTGCTATGTTCTGCTGTAATTTGTGATATTAACTATGACATATTTTCAGTATCTTGAAACTTTCTTTGAAAAGCATAAAATAATGCATGTTTTCCAGCCTCAATCTGTCAAACAGAAATTAAACAATACAATCAAGTAAAAATAAAAACAGCATATATATGTTTTTTATAGTTATATATTTTACTTACTTCCAAACTCCAGTCTGGTTCCTCCACCGAACGTGTACCACAGTGATACAAACTCATTGAGCCGTCGTACAAAAACCTCTGACTGTAGAGAGACACGGCTCTCTGAACACAAAACATGGACAAATAGATATTCATAGATTTTTAAAAGCTAAAAACATTAAAAATTAAAACTCATAATTATTTATTGTTCGATCAACATTTCAATATATATTGTAAACTTGAAAATTACTAACAAATGTATCTCATTGTCAAAAAACATAAACTATAAACATTTTAAATTGATCTAAAATGAAATCAAAAATAGAATTAAAATTGTCCAAAGTTTATTCCCACCAACAATGACGATCATGTACTGCTATATAAACATTGTTCTTTAATTTGAAGTAGGTTTACTCTGTTTACATTTCTGACATTTAGATTAGCTATGACTGAATGTTTTAAATGAGACTGTGAACCAAAGTGCTGTCATCCAGTCAGAAAGAAGATTAATAGGTGAACCAGACACAATTTATGAGTCTGAGAATTTACAGATTGAGGAGATCGGAAATTACTGTTAACATGACCAGAGCAATGTGACCAAGAAAGTTCAGCTCCAAAGCAGAACATAAGTCATAAGTTGCTAAAACAAGTCTGTAAAATATAAAAATATAATCAAAAGAGTCACAGAATTATCTTGGTGATGTTGATATGAAAGTAAATACCACAACAATCAAAAGAATGTGTTTTAATCTTTGTGAGGATTATGCCAAGAGATAATCTATGCTCTCAAAATAATAAGTTAAATATAACCTCTGGAATAATGACTTTTTGGACACGAATGAAAAACTGAATTATTTGAACACAAGAAGATGTGACACTTCAGTCACATACAGCAATCCAAGATAAGAACCTCATTCTATCCTTGAAGCACGGAGGTGGAAGTGTTATGGATTGAGTTTGCTACGCTGCAGCAGGAATCTCATGAACTCTACATTGTTAAAAGTGAAGGATCAGATAATCAATTAAATGTTGAACCCAAGAGAGATGATAGAAAACTGGGAAGTTCTCACAGATTTATTTAAAACCAGCCATGGTGTATGTAAAGTGTTTTTATAGCTCAGATACAACAGAAGTAATCAATAAATGTTCTCTAAACTAGTATTATTTGATTAACTTTGAAACTATGTAGTTTACCTTTATAAGTTTATAACTGGTGTGTTTCTTCACTTGTTCTACAAGTTTTAATTGAAGCTGCTTATATGGCCTTAACTGGCTTGTCTTCTCTCTTTTTTCATTTAGTAAATATGTTCATGTATTTTTGTAGATTATTTCAAAAGTCAGAACCATCTGCAGTTCAGAGAACACAGCAATAGAGACCGAGGAAGTTAGAAGAGAACATGTAGAGCTGAGCTCCATGTGACTGTGTGTGTTTGCATATGTGTCCTGCCTCTCTGCTCCAGCTGTTAAGAGGTCAGAGTTGATCAGTGGCTGTCCAGGCCTTTCAGAGCCACTGACTCACCAGCAGCACAATGATGATGTCACTGACTCCACTGCTGACCATCCTGGGGCTCCTGGTTCAGGGTGAGACTCTCTGCTCTTAACTTTGTGTTAAAGTGTAATGATGTTCTCCAGGATTTTTGACATCACAGCTTCCATTTGGATGGTGATAGAATTTATTCAACTTTGATTTTTCTTCAGGAAGGTTTCTGTCTTTTTGTATTTTCAGGATCTTCAGGACAAGTCACCATAAGTCAGACTCCAGGATCTCTGTCTCTTGTTCCAGGACAACCTGTCTCTATTCAATGTAACGTCAGTCCAAGTACAGATTACTGTTTCAGCTGGTACCTTCAGAAACCAGGAGAAGTTCCAAGACTCCTTATTAAATGCAAAAGCAACCGTCATTCTGGAGTCCCTGATCGTTTCAGTGGATCAGGTTCTGGGAATACTGACTTCACTCTGACCATCAGTGGAGTTCAGGCTGAAGATGCTGCAGTTTATTACTGTCAGAGTGCTCACTACATCAACAGCAAGTGGATGTTCACACAGTGAAAAACCATCGTACAAAAACCTCCCTCAGTCAAATTAAACTAACAGGTCTGATACAGTTCACTGATCCACTCTCACCCTCCCGCACAAACACTTGTTGAGATCAGTAGATCTTCTTTTATCATCTCCTTCCACGAGGAAACTGATAGCCTAGGCAATTTCCTCCTTGACTACAGAAGCAGCATCGAGTTTACAGTGTTATGGTGCAGCTGCCTTCAATCACCATCTTCTCATAAATACTCAGAGTTTACATCCTTTCATTGCCAGATCATCTGATATCACTTCATATAAAAGCCTTCCTCATATTTACTGAACACAAACTCTGACAAATTAGTTGGAAAATGAATAGGTTTGTACTTGCTTTTCACAGTATCCAAATAAAATCAAAATAGACGTCAACAAATTACATTTGACACCTCTCACAGTATGATCAATAATCTGTTTTCAAACATGAATAAAACATTGAACAGGGACCATTAATCACATTAAGATTGCATTAAATATAAATGATACAAACAATTTTTACAAAAAACATATGTCAGAAATAGTTCATAAAAAAATCACCCTGACTTCTTTAAGTACTCCTTCACTGAATAGGATTTTGGATAAGTCTCATGTCAACATATTTAGTAGCATTTTTGTCCATTTTTTTTTATTTTTAAATATCATAAAATAGATCCAAATTCCCTCTATGAGTCATTTGGAGCATTTCCATTGAGAGTCACTTTGCATCAGCAGCTCCATGCTCCAGTGCTCTGGGAGAGTTTATAGTCCTGACAGTTGAACACTGGATGACTGACAGCTGTCCTTCATCATAACTGAAGACACAGAAATCCTCCTCATCTAAAACATGACTTTGATCTGCGTCCTCATCTGGACTCTCCTCTGCTGCTGCTTCACAGGTAAAGTCCAGAGAATCCAACTCCTCTATGAACATCTGTCCCTCTGAAATGAAGACGACTAAACCATGAAGCTGCTGCATGTTTTATCTCTGTGTCCTCAGAGGTCAGAGGTCAGGTCACAGTGACTCAGCCTGCAGCAGTGAGAGCTGATCTGGGAGGATCTGTCAACATCAACTGTAGAACCAGTCAGAATGTTTATGATTCTAACTGTTTAGCCTGGTATCAACAGAAAGATGGACAAACTCCTAAGCTCCTCATTTATTATGCCAGCACTCGAGCAACAGGGACTCCAAGTCGTTTTTCAGGCAGTGGATCAAACTCTGACTTCACTCTGAGCATCAGTGGAGTTCAGGCTGAAGATGCTGCAGTTTATTACTGTCAGAGTTACCACAGCGGAGGGGTGTTCACACAATGAAAAATAGTCATACAAAAACCTCCCTCAGTATGAACAGCTGGATGCTACAGCAGACACTGACACAGCTCACTAAACAAAAACACACAAACAGTAATGATGATTTAGTGGACAAATTTTTTCTGCACCCATACATTCTGAATAATAGGGCATATTAAAATTTGTGGCTGGTTTACCAACAAAGAATACATCTTGGAATGTTGATTAACAACTGAAGAAACATTGTTTGTGGAAGATAACATTTCACCTTGCTCACTGATATTTGAATATCTGTGCTTAACACAATTCTGACAGGAATTTACTAAAACAGATATATTAGTTTTGGTAAAATTTTCTCGAACAAAAACATCACGGCTCGAACCAAGATTAAAATGAAACACTATGAGTCAGATAATTGATATGAAATATCTTGGTAACAAAAGAAACAAGACAAAACTCTCCTGGAGTTCATTATTTGTTAAACAAACACAGGACTCTAAATGGCTTCATAATTATAAAAATAAATCAGAAAAAATAGCAGTAGTTGCTGTTTTCCCTGAATAGATATTGTTGTACTGTTTTCAACACTTGTACCGCTGTTAGATTTTAATTCAGAATAAAGGCAAAAGTTCTCACTTGAATTTTAACAGTCTGATGGAGTTAAAGATTAGAGTAATTACAAAAAGATAAATCATCACATTACCAGAGAAAATGAGGAAAATCTCCACGGGAACTTTGTAAAGTTACTGACTGTCACTCTAAGAAAAGCTTAAACACTAATTATTTAGAATAACATCAACAGTTGTCAACACAGCATGAAAAAAACATCTAAGTATTTTTTTTTCTTTTCCACAATATTCACTTTTTGTTTGCTCTTATTACATTTTGAAGGAGTTCTGTGGTATTTTCATTAACAATGTTCTTACTTACATGAAAATATATTTTAGTCATTATTAGACATTGAATCATTTTAAGAGTAGGAATAATTTTGAATTTCTCTCATTGACATAAATGTTTCATCTTTCAGCAGTGAAAATGATGCATTATGAGCTGTAAAGCTGAGCTCCATGTGACTGTGTGTGTTTGCATATGTGTCCTGCCTCTCTGCTCCAGCTGTTAAGAGGTCAGAGTTGATCAGTGGCTGTCCAGGCCTTTCAGAGCCACTGACTCACCAGCAGCACAATGATGATGTCACTGACTCCACTGCTGACCATCCTGGGGCTCCTGGTTCAGGGTGAGACTCTCTATTGGAAATGTGATTTCAGGATGTCATCAAATTTATCACAACAACAGTGATTGAGAAAAATGAGAATATAAGCCCTGACCTTGGATTAAAATTTTTAAGCCTGATGTTTGTAAATATTTCTTTTCTTCCAGGTTATCAGCAAATATAATCTCTGACTCCAGAATCTCTATCTGTTGTTCCAGGGCAGACTGTTTTCATCAGACGTAAAGCCGGTGGATACATAAAAATGAGATAGACTGGTAATTTCAGAAACCTAGAGAATCCATAAAACTTCTGATTTATTGAACATCAAATTGTGAGCCTGGCGTTTCTGATCGTTTCAGTGGGAGTCAGTCTGGTTCTGTATTCACACAGTGATACGTCGTACAAAAACCTCCCTCAGCTACAGAGGAAATGATCCACAGCTGCACTGACACAGAAGTTTTTTCATATAAACATATTCATAGATCATAATATGTAAGTTAGACTGTGGATGACCACTAACTAGCTACTTGTAGCTAAAAGCTACTGTAGGAATCACTTAACTAAATCCTTCAAATAGTTGTACTCAAATTTTAAAGAAGCAGCTGGATCATGTCATCCAGCTGGATCATGTCATCCAGCTGGATCATGTCATCTGCCTGTTTTATCCAATCATCAGACAAATTGGAATGACAAAAGTTTCTTTTTGTCATTTCAAAGTCATTCCAGCAGTAAAAAACTGTGCTAACATTTTTTACTGCTGTTAAAATCACAAAATTTATCACACAATTACAGCTTTAAATCCTTTTTATTTGTTTAAAAAGTAGAGAAAAGCAAAAAGTACAGAATTTCACTAAGTTTTTGAATTTTATAACATAGGTTAATTTCATGCATTTCCCCTATCTTTTTCCACATATTTTGAAAATAATTATTTCATCATAAGACATAACTCTGTTACAAATGATGTTCAGTCTTTGCATCAGTGTAAGATTGCATTACACTGATGCAATGATTCAAAGGAAAAGGCCGTTTCTCAAATGACAGAAAAGTTAACCCCACGAAAATGTCCACATGCCAAAATCTCCTTTGTTTATAACCTTACCTCTGAATGTGGAAACATGTGTTACTGTAAAGAAAAGGGTGTTGAAAAGTGCATTGTGACTAAAACTGCATTCCTACTGTTAGTGTTATTTTAAAGTCAAGATTTAAAGTTTCCTGTTTTACTTTGCTTATCTCTTGTTTCTTTTTAGATGTGTACAATATGTAAAATAATTATGAACTACTGGAAAGAAAAACAACTATATAAACATATAGTTGTGTTTATATATTTTATATAATGTTTAAAATATAAACATTATGTGGGAGAAACTTTAACTTTTTCAAAAAAAATGCTTTAAGAATTTGGAAAGGAGCATCACATTGATCCCAGTTTCTATTGGACTCAGTCAGAACATTTCCATAGAGTCACTTTGCATCAGCAGCTCCATGCTCCAGTGCTCTGGGAGAGTTTAGTCCTGACAGTTGAACACTGGATGACTGACAGCTGTCCTTCATCACAACTGAAGACACAGAAATCCTCCTCATCTAAAACATGACTTTGATCTGCGTCCTCATCTGGACTCTCCTCTGCTGCTGCTTCACAGGTAAAGTCCAGAGAATCCAACTCCTCTATCAACATCTGTCCCTCTGAAATGAAGACGACTAAACCATGAAGCTGCTGCATGTTTGTGTCTTTGTGTCCTCAGAGGTCAGAGGTCAGGCCATAGTGACTCAACAGCCAGCAGCAGTGAGAGCTGATCTAGGAGGATCTGTTACCATCAGATGTAGAACCAGTCAGAATATAAATGGCAACTATTCTCCTGGTACCAACAGAAAGATGGACAAACTCCTAAGCTCCTCATTTATTACACCAGCACTAAAGCATCAGGGACTCCAAGTCGTTTTACAGGCAGTGGATCAAACTCTGACTTCACTCTGACCATCAGTGGAGTTCAGGCTGAAGATGCTGCAGTTTATTACTGTATGAGTGAATTCCTCATCAGCAGCAAATATTCATTCACACAGTGAAAAACAGTCGTACAAAAACCTCCAACATTCAGACTGAACAGAAACTGAAATGTCTGTTGCATCTGGAAGTTGCAGTTGGTTAACCAAACACATAAAACTCTCATGGTACAGCTTTTACATACAGATATACCACAGGTCAGATATTTAGAACCAACTTAAAGTTTCTGTCAACAATGACTTTGTTCAGGATAATTATGTGTTCTTATGATTTTAGGTATATTTACATCATCAAACTTTGTTTTTATTAAGGCACTTCATTTTCATTTGTTTACCTATATTTGTAAAGCTGATGTCACTAGACCACAGATAAAAATATTTTACTAAAACAAAAGAAGAAAAGAAAACAATTATTTAGTTTGGGAACACTTGCAAGAGTTGGAAAAAAATAATTTGCTTTTTCCCAACACTGTTTGCTTTACTGCTGTTAAAACCATAAAATGTTCCTTTGAAGAAAGCAAATTCTAAATAAGACAATCCTAAATATAAAACATGTACAGTGACAGATTGTACATTAATTAAAATTAATCAAATTTGTGGCTAATTGTAAAAAAAAAATCACTGTATAATAAACTATCTTATAAAAACATTATTATGACAATCATGCAATCAGAGCTGATTTTATTAACTGATGTTCTTGAACATCACTGCAGGAAATGAATGTCACTGGTGTTATTTAGTGTGATGAACCTCAGTCAACTCTCATGTTAAACCACTTTGTGTATTTCAGAAAAATCTAACAAAATTCAATACATATACTTAATTGTAAAAGTAATATTTTATAGAATAGTAAGGATGTGTTTCTGGCCCACAATTGCATAATTTATAAAAATTAAAATATATCAAAGGAAAAACTTAATAGTGAAACAAATTGAACAAAAGTAAGATGATGTTTTTAAAACCGATGAAAAGAGCATATTTCAGTGCTATTACTAAGACACTAAAATCATAAGTGCTGCCCTTAAAACCATTTATGAAATTTGAGAATGTTTACTGTAGATTAGATATTTTATTTTGAAAATTTCCTGGGCACTAATTTTGGTACAAATTAAAAAGTGAAAAAGTCAGACAAATACTTTTAGGAAATTTTATTGAAACCATCAATTTGTAGAAGAACAAGAGAAGAAATAAGAAATAAAGAAGAGAGAAATAATTAAACAACACAGAAAGCAGTAGTAGAGAAAACTAGTGATCTTCTAGTGAATCAGCTCAGGACAATGGTTTTTCCTCAGTGTCTCTGTGACTGCAGACTGGGAGCCCTGGGAAGCCTTGCAGGTCACAGAGCCCACCTTCCTCCACTGGGCTGCAGGGATCCTCAGGGTGCTGCTCCAGCTGTAGAGCCCGTCATTCTGCACCATCCCAGAGCTCTTGGTCTCCTCCCAGGTGAAGCTGGTTGTGCTGCCGTCCAGCTTCCAGGACAGAGTCCAGTCTGAGGGGAAGCCCTTGTTGGCCAGACACAGGAGGGTAACCTGCTGCTGCTGCAGCTCCACACTGGAAGGGGGCAGCACTGTCAGGGAGGGGCGGGTATTACCTAGAAGATATCGGTCAGGTTAGAGGACAGGAACTCCAGTCATTTCAACTCTTGTACTGTGAGAGTTGATTTTCTCCACAAAGACGTTTCTAACAGATGTCTTTCTGCTCGACCAGCCACTCAGCTCACATTTTGTTTCGTTTCCTTTTCAAAAAACCTTTCATGCATATCAGCTCAGGAAGACGGAAAATACAGTTTAAACTGAAATATACAAGTAGTGAAATGTAGAATAAAATATTTAATTTTTTTTTTCCTGATATAAAAAATGTTGAAATCAAAGAGAAAATGTTTTGGAAAAAGCTCATCAGTTTTTTAAAATGTACATCATAATTTGGTAAACTCTTTCCCATGAAATGAATCTGGTCAGAAACGCTGATCAGTGTCAGACGTTTTCTCATGTCTCTTGTCTTTAACTTTGACATATGCGTTGATTAAGCCAATAAGTAAAGATATGCTCTTGGATGGCAGATTATTTTATTATAACTAGCACTCTTCAAATTATTTATTAGTATTTTACTTCTAGTGGTGAATTACAATCCAACTTCCATAAGCCACAGTAAAAGAAACAAGTAAAAACACAGTTTTCTACCTTCAACAAGGCACTAAATAATATTTTTAAAAATCATCCAAACATAAATCCAACCTGGTTCCTCGCTAATCGTCCACCTCAATGATACAAACTGGTTGAACTGCTGTACAGAAAGAAATCTTTGACTATAAAGATAAAGACGTCTGACTTTTTCATACTAAACAAAACCTTCGAGCCCAGATTAATAACTAAAATAAACACAATCTAGTATAATATTTCATTAAACATTAACATATTTGATTGTATCTTATATTTAGTTTTTCTTTATAGAAGTACTTTTGGGTCAGTTCATTTATTTGCAATAAAAATACTAAAAACTTCACAATTCATCCACCTGTCATTTATCAAAGTGAAATACTGAATATGTAAAATTACAACTTAATAAAACAACATTTATTTTGACTTACTTCCAACCTCCAGTCTGGTTCCTCCACCAAACGTGTACCACAGTGAAATAAACCCTTTGAGGCGCCGTACAAAAACCTCTGACTAAAGAGAGACACGGCTCTGACAGTTTTAGACTAAACTAAACCTTATAACCAGATTAAATCACAAACTTTTATCGATGTAAATGCTTCCCTTGTCCAGATCTCACTATCACAAACTGATCAGATTTCATTCACAAAATCATGAAACTTTTTTATTTAAAAAACTACATATTCTGACCTTTTTTTCCAAGTTACACAAAATACTGAAAATTGAAAAGTGTTTAAATTTTTAAAGTAGCTTTAAATTTCACTTACTTCCAACCTCTAGTCTGGTTCCTCCACCAAAAGTCCACCACAGTGATACAAACTCATTGAGGCGCCGTACAAAAACCTCTGACTGTGGAGATACGGCTCACTCACTTTCATGAAAACATTGAATAAAATCTGCTGCTTGTGGCAAATCTGGAGCCGTTACAGAAAGCAAAAACGCTTTACAATAATTAAAATTTTTATTGACAGAATATGAAACTATAAATAATATTATTAATTTTTCATCCAAAATATTTAAGTGCACCAATGCATTTTCTTACATGAAATAATTATGATACATTACTTAAATAAATCACTCAGATAAATAAAATATGGTGAAACTTAATAACAATCCAATTTTGAATAATTCTCTTATTTCTTTCCTTCTTTGTGCTCATTTGGCTACACAAAAATTAGGTTTTGCTAAGAAACATGTTTATTTTGACTGATTATGGATTTTCATTAAAGTTGTTATTTTATAGTTGCTTAATTTTTTCTCAATTATTGGGATGTTTTGTATGAGTCTCAGTATATTTAAGTATAATCCTTTTGGCATGCTGGATAAATAAACCAATTTATCTTCAAATTAAGCCTGACAAAAAGTAAAATAACAAAAATACCACAAAAAATAACTCCAGAAAATTTTTGAAAAATTAACAGTAAACAAATAGAAATTCATGCAAAAAACTACAAACGACAAGTTGTTAAAAACAGTAATCTGCAGAAAATTGTAATGAAGCTTTCGGCAAAGTTTGAAGAAATCATATTCTGATTAACTGATCTGCTCCATCATATGGATCCCAGTTTATTGTGGACTCAGTCAGAACATTTCCATAGAGTCACTTTGCATCAGCAGCTCCATGCTCCAGCGCTCTGGGAGAGTTTATAGTCCTGACAGTTGAACACTGGATGACTGACAGCTGTCCTTCATCACAACTGAAGACACAGAAATCCTCCTCATCTAAAACATGACTTTGATCTGCATCCTCATCTGGACTCTCCTCTGCTGCTGCTTCACAGGTAAAGTCCAGAGAATCCAACTCCTCTATGAACATCTGTCCCTCTGAAATGAAGCCGACTAAACCATGAAGCTGCTGCATGTTTGTGTCTTTGTGTCTTCAGAGGTCAAAGGTCAGGTCACAGTGAGTCAGCAGCCAGAAGCAGTGAGAACTGGACTGGGAGAAACTGTCAACATCAACTGTAGGATGAGTCGAAATGTTCATGTTCACAGCAGCTCTTCCCCTTGTTTAGCCTGGTTCCAAAAGAAATATGGACAAACTCCTAATCGGCTCATGTACTATGCCAGCACTCGAGAGTCAGGGACTCCAAGTCGTTTTACAGGCAGTGGATCAAACTCTGACTTCACTCTGACCATCAGTGGAGTTCAGGCCGAAGATGCTGCAGTTTATTATTGTCAGAGTCAACACAACATCAACAATCAGTGGGTGTTCCCACAGTGAAAAACAGTCATACAAAAACCTCCCTCAGCCAAACTAATGTTGCAGCTGCCTTGTAGACTGAAACACTTCACTTAATATCTGCACATGCACAACGTTTTATTAACAACTTATAGCATGTTTGCCTTTTCATTTATTAAATTGCAATAGACTTATTTGAAGAATAGAACCATCACTTTTTTATATACATCTACAGAAGATATTCTACAATTGTTACTCATAATTCTTCTTCTTAAGAACTTGATTATAAGAGAACATTTGATTGTGAATGTAACCATGACAAAATTATGAGCTACAAAATAATTTAAATATAAAACTTTATGAATCTATCTTTAGTTAGTCAGTGGTTATAAACACTTATTGTTCTATCAGTAACTGCTTTGTGAGTAAATTATGGTCAATGACCAGTTAACCATCATCTAATGATGAACTAATGATCAGTTGTTATTTCTGAGCCTCATCATGGGAAAAAAGATTTCAAATATTTGCACACTGTCAAATTTGAACAAGACAAAAAATTTCATAACTTTTCATTAAAGAAATAAATAACGAGGTATTTTCTCACTCTAAAATAAGACGATCTGAATTTTGATGTCCTGCAGCTTACACTTCTGCAATTTTTCAATGTAAAAAACAACATGTACATTGTGTTCTAAATTATTATGCAAATTGGATTTCAGTGTCATAAATATGACATTTTTATAGATGGTACTGTGCGTCAGGGCTCTTTCAATCACTATAATTAATTTCAGAGAGCTAGGTTGATAAGTTTGTCTTTTGAGCTCAATTAAAGGGAATCTACTTAAGAAGAATGTTCCACATTATTAAGCAGGCCACAAGTTTCAAACAATACGGGAAAGAGAAAGGATCTCTGCTGATGAAAATCATCACATAGTATAGTGCCGTATGGACAAGGTATGAAAACATTAGATATTCATCAAAAAAGAGATCAAAGTAATTAAAACTGAGCTCTTACTCTGTATTTTATATTGTAAAAATTAAACTTTTTTAATAATCTGTTCCATTAGAAACCTCGAAAATAATGACTAATTATTATGAAATTAAAAGACAAAGATAACATTCAGGTATGTAATGTGGAGAACAAATGAACAACAAGAAAAGAAAAAAAATGCTCAAGAACAAGCTCACTGGGAAATGTATGAAACACAATAAAAGAGAATATTACCCGAATGTCGGTTCCTATTGGATAGCATTTCCATAGAGTCACTTTGCATCAGCAGCTCCATGCTCCAGCGCTCTGGGAGAGTTTATAGTCCTGACAGTTGAACACTGGATGACTGACAGCTGTCCTTCATCACAACTGAAGACACAGAAATCCTCCTCATCTAAAACATGACTTTGATCTGCGTCCTCATCTGGACTCTCCTCTGCTGCTGCTTCACAGGTAAAGTCCAGAGAATCCAACTCCTCTATGAACATCTGTCCCTCTGAAATGAAGACGACTAAACCATGAAGCTGCTGCATGTCTTTGTATCTGTGTCCTCAGAGGTCAGAGGTCAGATCTCAGTAACTCAGCAGCCTGCAGCAGTGAGAGCTGATCTGGGAGGATTTGTCAACATCAACTGTAGAACCAGCCAGAATGTTTATGTTAGTGGCAGCTCCCACTGTTTAGCCTGGTACCAACAGAAAGATGGACAAACTCCTAAGCTCCTCAGTTATTATAGCAGCACTCGAGCATCAGGGACTCCAAGTCGTTTTTCAGGCAGTGGATCAAACTCTGACTTCACTCTGACCATCAGTGGAGTTCAGGCTGAAGATGCTGCAGTTTATTACTGTCAGAGTTTTCATTACCCCAATAGCCAGCATGTGTTCACACAGTGAAAAACAGTCGTACAAAAACCTCCCTCAGTCAAACTGTGTAAATGTGTGTTACTGAAAAGAACAGCTGTTGTAGAAATGCAAATTGAGATAACATTTTCTACAACAGATATTGTCATTCCTCATTCATATTATATTCTCACCCTTCCATTCAGTCACATGTGGGCCTTTATGCAAAGGTCCTATTACAAGAGCTCAGTGGTGGCCAGTAAGACTATTTTGCATATTTCTTGTGAATAATGTGAATAAGTCAAACATAAGATTTCAGAATTATTTTTGAAACATTTATTGCTTGTAAAATTGAATCTGTTTGTTTTAAAACAATATCAAGCACATTCAGAATGCAACAAAGAAGCCGGTAAAAAGAAAAATGAAAGCAAAGGTAAAATGAGCTCCAGATTCATTTTACAAACACTGGTCTCTCTTCAGTGTCTCTGTGACTGCAGGCTGGGAGCTCTGGGAGGCCTCACAGGTCACAGAGCCCACCTTCCTCCACTGGTCTGCAGGGATCCTCAGGGTGCTGCTCCAGCTGTAGAGCTGTAGAGGTTCATAATGGTAGGGGAGACCTAAAAATTGATTCTTATTTTTTCTGTGAAACATGGTAGATATATTTCGATGTTTGTTTCTTTTGCCTTTGCATAGTATTATTTAAATTCAAATGTTTCTTTAATGATTGAAGAAGTCTAGAATTTTCGCAGATTGGGGGGTCTGAATTCCCCACCCCAACCCCGACACTGTTGCAGAGAGATCAAATTAATTAAAACTACTCCCAGGTGGGCTCTTACTCTGTATTTTATTTTGTAAAAATTAAACATTTTTGATAATCTGTTCCATTCGAAACCTCAAAAATTATGACTAATTATTATAAAGGTAAAAAAAAAGATAACAGTCAGGCATTTAATGTGAAGAAGAAATGAACATCATGAAAATAATAAAAAATGCTCAAGAACAAGCTGACTGGGAAATGTATGAAACACAATGAGGGAAAACTTAAGCAACACAGAAAAAATAAAAATACTGTTTATTAAAAGAATATTACCCGAATGTTGGTTCCTATTGGATAGCATTTCCATAGAGAGTCACTTTGCATCAGCAGCTCCATGCTCCAGTGCTCTGGGAGAGTTTATAGTCCTGACAGTTGAACACTGGATGAGTGACAGCTGTCCTTCATCACAACTGAAGACACAGAAATCCTCCTCATCTAAAACATGACTTTGATCTGCGTCCTCATCTGGACTCTCCTCTGCTGCTGCTTCACAGGTAAAGTCCAGAGAATCCAACTCCTCTATGAACATCTGTCCCTCTGAAATGAAGACGACTAAACCATGAAGATGCTGCATGTTTTTGTCTTTGTGTCCTCAGAGGTCAGAGGTCAGGCCACAGTGACTCAACAGCCAGCAGCAGTGAGAGCTGATCTAGGAGGATCTGTTACCATCAGATGTAGAACCAGTCAGAATATAAATGGCAACTATTTCTCCTGGTACCAACAGAAAGATGGACAAACTCCTAAGCTCCTCATTTATTACACCAGCACTAAAGCATCAGGGACTCCAAGTCGTTTTACAGGCAGTGGATCAAACTCTGACTTCACTCTGACCATCAATGGAGTTCAGGCTGAAGATGCTGCAGTTTATTACTGTATGGGTGAATTCTACATCAGCAGCAAGCATTCATTCACACAGTGAAAAACAGTCGTACAAAAACCTCCACCATTCAGACTGAACAGAAACTGAAATGTCTGTTGCATCTGGAAGTTGCAGTTGGTTAACCAAACACATAAAACTCTCATGGTACAGCTTTTACATACAGATATACCACAGGTCAGATATTTAGAACCAACTTAAAGTTTCTGTCAACAATGACTTTGTTCAGGATAATTATGTGTTCTTATGATTTTAGGTATATTTACATCATCAAACTTTGTTTTTATTAAGGCACTTCATTTTCATTTGTTTACCTATATTTGTAAAGCTGATGTCACTAGACCACAGATAAAAATATTTTACTAAAACAAAAAAGAAAAGAAAACAATTATTTAGTTTGGGAACACTTGCAAGAGTTGAAAAAAAAACAGTTTGCTTTTTCCAAACACTGTTTGCTTTACTGCTGTTAAAACCATAAAATGTTATTTTGAAGAAAGCAAATTCTAAATAAGACAATCCTAAATATAAAACATGTACAGTGACAGATTGTACATTAATTAAAATTAATCAAATTTGTGGCTAATTGTAAAAAAAAAATCACTGTATAATAAACTATCTTATAAAAACATTATTATGACAATCATGCAATCAGAGCTGATTTTATTAACTGATGTTCTTGAACATCACTGCAGGAAATGAATGTCACTGGTGTTATTTAGTGTGATGAACCCCAGTCAACTCTCATGTTAAACCACTTTGTGTATTTCAGAAAAATTTAACAAAATTGAATACATATACTTAATTGTAAAAGTAATATTTTATAGAATAGCAAGGATGTGTTTCTGGCCCACAATTGCATAATTTATAAAAATTAAAATATATCAAAGGAAAAACTTAATAGTGAAACAAATTGAACAAAAGTAAGATGATGTTTTTTAAAGCCTATGACGAGAGCATATTTCAGTGCTATTACTAAGACACTAAAATCATAAGTGCGGCCCTAAAAATCCTTTATAATATCTAAAAATGTTCACTGTCGATTAGATATTTTATTTTGAAAATGTCCTGGGCACTAATTTTGGTACAAATTAAAAAGTGAAAAAGTCAGACAAATACTTTTAGGAAATTTTATTGAAACCATCAAGTTGTAGAACAAGAGAAGAAATAAGAAAAAAGAGAAATATTTAAACAACACAGAAAGCAGTAGTAGAGAAAACTAGTGATCTTCTAGTGAATCAGCTCAGGACACTGGTTTTTCCTCAGTGTCTCTGTGACTGCAGACTGGGAGCCCTGGGAAGCCTTGCAGGTCACAGAGCCCACCTTCCTCCACTGGGCTGCAGGGATCCTCAGGGTGCTGCTCCAGCTGTAGAGCCCGTCATTCTGCACCATGCCAGAGCTCTTGGTCTCCTCCCAGGTGAAGCTGGTTGTGCTGCCGTCCAGCTTCCAGGACAGAGTCCAGTCTGAGGGGAAGCCCTTGTTGGCCAGACACAGGAGGGTAACCTGCTGCTGCTGCAGCTCCACACTGGAGGGGGCAGCACTGTCAGGGTGGGGCGGGTATTACCTAGAAGATATCGGTCAGGTTAGAGGACAGGAACTCCAGTCATTTCAACTCTTGTACTGTGAGAGTTGATTTTCTCCACAAAGACGTTTCTAACAGATGTCTTTCTGCTCGACCAGCCACTCAGCTCACATTTTGTTTCGTTTCCTTTTCAAAAATCTCTCATGCATATCAGCTCAGGAAGACGGAAAATACAGTTTAAACTGAAATATACCAGCAATGAAATGTAGAATAAAATATTTAATTTTTTTCCTGATATAAAAAATGTTGAAATCAAACAGAAAATGTTCTGGAAAAAGTTAATCAGTTTTTTTAAATGTACATCATAATTTGGTAAACTCTTTCCCATGAAATGAATCTGGTCAGAAACGCTGATCAGTGTCAGACGTTTTCTCATGTCTCTTGTCTTTAACTTTGACATATGCGTTAATTAAGCCAATAAGTAAAGGTATGCTCTTGGATGGCAGATTATTTTGTTATAACTAGCATTCTTCAACTTATTTATTAGTATTTTACTTCTAGTGGTGAATTACAATCCAACTTCCATAAGCCACAATTAAAGAAACTAGTAAAAACACAGTTTTCTACCTTCAACAGGGCACTAAATGATTTTTTTAAAAATCATCCAAACATAAATCCAACCTGGTTCCTCACTAATCGTCCACCTCAATGATACAAACTGGTTGAACTGCTGTACAGAAAGAAACCTTTGACTGTAAAGATAAAGACGTCTGACTTTTTCATACTAAACAAAAGCTTCGAGCCCAGATTAATAACTAAAATAAACACAATCTAGCACAATATTTAATTAAACATTAACATATATGGTTGTATCTTATATTTGGTTTCTCGTTATATAAGAACTGTTGGGTCAATTCATTTATTTGCAATAAAAATACTAAAAACTTCACAATTCATCCACCTGTCATTTATCAAAGTGAAATACTGAATATGTAAAATTACAACTTAATAAAACAACATTTATTTTGACTTACTTCCAATCTCCAGTCTGGTTCCTCCACCGAACGTGAACCACAGTAAAATAAACTCATTGAGGCTCCGTACAAAAACCTCTGACTAAAGAGAGACACGGCTCTGACAGTTTTAGACTAAACTAAACCTTATAACCAGATTAAATCACAAAACACTTTATCGATGTAAATGCTTCCCTTGTCCAGATGTCACAATCTCAAACTGATCAGATTTCCATTCACAAAATCATAAAACTTGTTTATTTAAAAAACTACATATTCTGACCTTTTTTTCCAAGTTACACAAAATACTGAAAATTGAAAAGTGTTTAAATTTTTAAAGTAGCTTTAAATTTCACTTACTTCCAACCTCTAGTCTGGTTCCTCCACCAAAAGTCCACCACAGTGATACAAACTCATTGAGGCGCCGTACAAAAACCTCTGACTGTGGAGATACGGCTCACTCACTTTCATGAAAACATTGAATAAAATCTGCTGCTTGTGGCAAATCTAGAGCCGTTACAGAAAGCAAAAATGCTTTAAAATAATTACAATTTTTATTGACTGAATATGAAACTATAAATAATATTAATTTTTCATCCAAAATATTTAAGTGCACCAATGCATTTTCTTACATGAAATAATTACGATACATTACTTAAATAAATCACTCAGATAAATAAAATATGGTGAAACTTAATAACAATCCAATTTTGAATAATTCTCTTATTTCTTTCCTTCTTTGTGCTCATTTGGCTACACAAAAATTAGGTTTTGCTAAGAAACATGTTTATTTTGACTGATTATGGATTTTCATTTCAGTCGTTATTT